GGAGGAGATATCAAAATGTTTCTTGCTTGTAAACCTCCCAAGTTTTCTGGTGAGCATGATCCTGTTAAAGCTATGTGTTGGCTTAAAGAAATAGAGCTGAGTCTGCAAATCAGTAAAAATGCAGAAGAGGACAAAGTCATGTTTGCTGTATCTCGTTTGAGATCAAGTGCTTTGTGCTTGGGGGAAGTTCTGTCCAGTTCACATCCGAACATTTTGAAGACCATGTTGTGGGAAGAATTTGTGGTTAAGCTTAAAATGCAGTATTGTCCTAAAGCTGCAGTACGAAAGTTGGAAGATGATTTCCTTCGTCTTGAGCAAGGAAACATGTCAGTCCGCCAGTATACAGAAGTTTTCGTGGAGCAATCTAGGTTTGTTGAAGCCTATATTATATCTGAAAACAGTAAAGTGAGAAAGTATATCTAGGGGTTGGAGTCGAATCTTCGGAAGTATGTGATATCCAGGAATCCGACAACATTTCAAGCGGCAGTTGATGCTGCCGAAATACTGGAACAAGATATTAACCGGCAACCACAAGAAAGGGTTGGAGAGAAAAGAAAGGGGGAAGCTACAGTAACTAATTTCCGTCGACCGAGGTTTATGGAAAATTTGAATCGACCAGTTTCAAGGTTTGCGGATAAAGCATATACCCGGTGTCATAAAATACATCAGGGAAATTGCAATATAGAATCTCGAGTATGTTTTAAATGTCAGGAACCAAGACATATAGCTCGAGATTGTCGGGTGACACAAAGGTGTTTTACTTGTAATTCATCTCAACATGTAAATGCCGATTGTCCGCAAGCAAAGAGTCGAGGGTTTGGTTTTGCTGGAGGTCGGGGATCTGGATATTCTGGGGGCCGAGGACCTGGTTACGTGCCAACAGGTCGTGGACAAATGGATAATCGTGTTAATTCAAGTGGTCGAGGAGAGATAAGACGTGGGGAGTCTGGAAGAAGGAGAGTCTTTCAGATGACGAGAGGAGAGGCAGAAGAGCACCCTGAAGTGCTAACAGGTACATTCCTCGTTAATTCAGTATTTGCCAAAGTTTTATTTGATTCGGGTGCAAATCGTTGTTTTGTGTCACCATCGTTTGTTAAATGCGCACATTTAGAATCCAAAGCATTGAGTGAGGATTTAATCGTGGAAACAACAAATGATAGTGAAGTTTTGGTTAAGGAAATAATAGATGAATGTTTTATAAGTATAGAAGGATGTGAGGTGCCTATACAACTATTTCCTTTGCCTTTAAGGGAATTTGAT